AAAAAAAAACCAAAAACAAAAAAAAAGTAAGGAACGTTGTAATAAAAGAGTGGTAGGGAGAGAGGATGAAAAGGAAAAAAAAAAGGGTAAAAAAAAAAATTTTACTGTCATAATTGAAACTAAATGTCCATTTTAGGCAAATATTCCTGAGGCCACTGCGGTAATCGCAAAATTGGAGAAATCTGGAGTTAGCAAGGAGATCCTCGAGGTGAGACATAGAGGCCTGCGATACATCTTGGGCAGGCACGGGGTGTAGTATGCAAGCAACAACACTTCGCGGGCAGCCAGCACAACCCGTGGCAGGCCTTCACACCGCCCTTGCGCTCCGTAGACACTGAACAGCACTGCCTGTTTTCCCCACCCATCAATTTTCTCGTTTTCTTTCGCCTCTCTTCGATCAATAATCTCTCGTTAGTTGGTGTGCTGTGAGTCATAAAAAAAAAGTTTCAAAGTTTGTTTACACTTCCGCAGTTGCCAGCAGTTTCTGAAATGCATTTCGTTTGGCGATTTTTGAGTACCCGATGTCGCTTGGCGTAGGAGAGATTTGGTCGGGGTTTTCCATGACATCAAGCAGCAGCAGCGGGTCGAGAGCTTTCTCTGCTTTTTTCTTCTTCAACTCCAGCTGTTGGCGTTTCGGGACACTGGATCTATTACGTATTTTGTTCAGAGAGCGCGTTGTTTTTACGTTTAGGCGACCGCGACGCGTTCGGAAGAGGGGAAAAGGAGGGGGTTGCGGAGTGTGTAGTTGCTGCTGGTTGTGGCGTGTGTTCATTTGTGCGCATATATGTCTGTGTGTATGTGTTTTTTTGTTTGGTGGAAGTTGCGCTTGTTGTGTATGCATACAAAGTTGCGATCGTATATACCTGATGATGCGCGTTTATAAAACGGGGAGTCTGTGACGGGATCCGTTTTAGCCCTGTGTGTGTGTGTGTGTGCGCGCGCGCGTTTGTTTGTTTATGGATGCGTTTTTGAAGAATCCTTTTACAGTGGCAGCAAATTGAAATTGTGGACAATGATGTACTTTGATTTTCTTGCATATAAATACATAAAAATACACAAACGCGTTATTATTATTATGATTATCATTATCATTATTGAAGCAGAGTTTCTCGGTTGCTTCTTACATTTTAAAAGTGTAATAAACGGTTGATTCTGTCTTGCCTTTGTTTGTGGTTGTTCTCTTTCTCTTTTTTTTTTTTTTCAGTTAATTTTTTAAGTGTTTTTGACTTTGTAATTAAGGCAGAAAATTTTGACACTTCATCACAGTTACTGCATCAATTAGACAATCGCTGCATTCCGAATGGAAGAAATGAAATTCCATCATCTTTAGACGAAATTTTGGATTTTTGTTAGGTTGGTTGACGGCTGGGACGGAGGGCGTGGAGTGAACTAGGGTTATTTTTAATTAGTATGCTGAATTACATGTTGGGAAAGTATGTTAAATGCGGGGTTCCCATTGTTGTTCAGCTCGGCTGTTCTGTGCCTGCCCAAGCGGTGTAACTAGGTTGAAAGGGGGAAAGCAAGTGTTCGTTTAAACTCTTAAGTTAGGAGCTGAATTTGCTTGTTCCAGAAATGCGTAAGTTCTTGAATTGTTTTTTGGTCTCGTTTAGGTTACAAGAGTTGGTGCCGTTGTAAACGATATTCGTAAAAGATTAGTAGAAACTGCCCCAGAATTATCTAAGAGATGTCGGGCCTTAATCAAGTGCTGGCAGAAGCTAGTAGAACCAAGGCCTTCGTCAAGTTGCGGAACGAGTTCAAATGGTGGGACGCCAAGGTTAATTTCCCCTTCTGTGAGGCGATTGACTCCAGGAACGCCAGTGATTGGTGCTCGTGTCACTTCATCTGGATTAAGCGGTACTTGCCTTTACTCTGTTTTATTTCTATATTGCTTACAATCTTTGCGGGTATGCAAACTAAACGAGCAGCTAGAAATTTGAAAGCCATAAGTTAGCGACAGAGAAACATGGAGCAGTGGCTTCTAGTTTGCCTTTTTGGGTGAAAATCTGTCTTGAGTTACTGGTGTGGAAGTTAAGCCCTGTGGATATTTTGGTACAGAAAATATGGCCACTGCATTTTAGGACCATCTATACAGCTTGCGTTATTTGTTTTAGAGGATTTTAAAAGGGAGTTTATATGGATTAATTGATGTAAATGTAACTGGTTCTTAAACGACATATATGCAGTGGCCTCACGAAGCAATACGAGTTCTCCTAGTGTCATAACGCCTAGTGGAAGTTACTCGTCTCCTCACCCGCGTGCTGATTCGTCACCGAATGGGAGTACTTCCAGTATACATAACTCAAATTCTGTTGGTACAGATTTACATGAAAAGGGTGTTGATGTTTCTGCGCTATCAGCACCAGATGATGCTACTACGCGTAATGGAAAGCGAAAAGTTGACCAGAGGCGGAGTATTGAGAACGGTTAGTTGTCTTATGTGCTTTTTCTCTTGTTTTTATTTTTGGGTCGCTAGTTTTTTGTGTGCTGGTGTTTTCATGGTGGATTATTTGTAGCTATTATTTTTGTCACTTTAATACATCGAACATTCTGATTCCAAACTTTTTTCCTGTTATTTCAATGTGATTTTATTCAGGATTAACGAACGGGTTAGCATCTGCGCCAGCAAAGCGTGCAAAACACGGGTCGACGGCGTCACCTGCTTCTTATCTTTCAGTTGTTGCAGCTAGACGTGCGAATGTGCAGTCAACAAGTGAACTTGTAGCGCAGCTATCTGAAAATTTGCCGCAGTATATGACAATTGATCTCTCGGAACATGAACAAAAAGTGAAGCGAGAGCAAGGATTAACCTCTCAAGCACAAAATGAAGCGGTAATTTTTGTACCCAGTTTTTTGGCACATAAAGCAGCTAAGGTGTAAATTATTTTTCCGAATTAAAATTCCATATTTGAGTCATATTTTTCAAGTGCTTAGAGTTTTTTTGTCGCATCTTAACTGCAACCATTGCAGCATGTTCATCAACATAGCGCATCTCACTTACATCATGTTAGTTCAACTCCGGCAATGCCGCTAAACGATTTACCCAAAAAGAAAGAAAAACGTGGACGTCCGAAGAAAACGGGTACTGAGCAGTCCAACGAAATGGAAAAACAGATCGCGATGTCCGTTCTAATTCTAATATTTTGTAGTTTGATTCTGGGAAGAGTAATGGCAGTATCCACTTTTTACTAGCTCGGATATTTTAAGGACTACACCGCTAGTATCAATTAGCGATGTGTCGGCCGAGCCAGGTTCGAGTTCAGTCAGCAAAAACTTAACAGTTCCTCCTTTCCGTAATGGCACGTATGATTGGAATGCGTTATTGCCTTCCCTTGAAACTTTAAGAAACAGAAAACACGACAGGGTCGAACCATCCGTGAATCCTCGGAAGTCAACTATATATAATGTCCATGGGCGAGAGGTGAGCTGGTCTTAACTAAAGCAGTTTTGCTGATAGTCATGTCAAGTGTGAAATGATTTATTTTAGGATGCGCTGTGTCGTTTATACATTAGTAACTGTTTCAGGTGTTAGCGTTGCCGCTAATCGACATCGGATTGCCCGATTTTTATGAATATAAGTATCCAAACCAGACTCAGTTTTATGCCGAGAGTAACCTTGATTTTAGAGGTTCTCATTTGACTTAATTATTGTTTTTTTGCAAGGCCACCTTTTCCCTTGTTTTGTTGTTAGTTCTATTTCACTTTAATCCTTTTCCCTTTGGTTTCTTTTTCTCCATTCTAAGTTGATCTCATGGAAAGTTTTGCTCTCATACTGTGTCGAATGTGTATTAGTTCCTGTAGTGCGTGTAAGGAATGATGGTATATTTAATAGCTTCATACAAGACTTGCTCACTCCAATTTTTTTTCGACCAAACAGTTCCGGAATTGTTACCAGTTCTTATCACCACATTGTAATAGAAGTTGTGACAGTGGATGGGTCATTTTAACTGAAAATATCTTTTAGGGAGATGGGGAGTTGATTGAGTTTCAATGTCTGACTGTTCTGATTCCGATTAATGATTTACTATTCACGGTGGAACATGAAAGCTTCATGTATCCTCGATCTTGTTTTTGTTGTAGTTAAGTGCCCTTTATACCATTTGTCACGACCTCATCATCTCCACAGTCTGATATTATGAATGGAATGTCACTCGGGTGCTTTCCGATGATGTCTCGCGTTTCGTACTTCCCATTCTAAACTTGTCATTGGAATTTCTACTAGGTCATTTAAGCAATTTTAGCGTTTTAAATTGTTATTTTTTCGGATCGCAACACCATCAGGAGCAAATGGTTATATAAAGTTCGGGTCTTAAAAAAAAAAAAAATGAAAAAATGATTTTTCTGAGTTGAACGTTGACGGCGTTACATGTTCTTCTCAGTTTTTAAGGGTATTGCATAGTATACGTTTCAGAAATCTTATTATGACGTTGTATAATAAAAACGTGATAAAGTTTTTTATGATGAATTTTGCTTTTGTTTGTTCTCATTAGCTAGGTAGAACAGCTTTGCAGGTGGTAGTCTTGGTTTTGATTGTGCAACGGTATGAATATGGTAATTATGAACTCCTTTTTTCCTCATGTAGGTTATTCCATTTATTTCCGTGTATTGGT